TAAACGTCATTTATGAACAACCCCATTTGTCAAATAACCCTTTATATACCAATACGTGAGCATGTTTATCATCGTCACCACAATGCATTCAAATGAGAATTTATATACATTAACTGCAACTTACTTTCAAGGTAATTGAAAATTCAAACAATGATTTATGAGCAAAATAGTTGAACTGAAGTAGATTTACTCTTATTCAATATTTTTTAACCAATTCCTTCTTCTTCCACTTCCCTCCTTCATGTGTATACCATGCATCATAACATAAGCCATTTACAAGACACTTTAGATTAAGATTAATGTCCTTACTCGATCCAAAGGCGTCTTCTTCTCCACCCAGCTCTTAATATCATTGTGGCAAGAATAACAGCCATCATCATCAACATCATATGTATTGAATGCATTTGAGTCTTAAGCAGGCGCGAAGCCAGGAGGGCGTTTTGAGCCGCAGCAAGAGCACGTCCTAAAAAGCTTAAGAGGGGAACAATACCTTCCTGGCTACGCGCCTGGTCTTAGGTAAAATATTATTATAAACTCCTTTTTGAATTCAAAATGTGAGCCAATGGAATATTTATGTACATACGGTTGTGAACATTTATGTGTCTAGTTAAACTTTCACCGCACACAGATGGGGAGAGGATATACATTTATGCATATATATGCATTATAATCAATAATTCATTGTTGGACGAATGTGATATGTAATGACAGTAAGTTTTACACACGAGAGAGAAAATCGAATGGAACTGCAGAAAAAGAAATTTTAATCTTGACTGTTCATACCTCGTAAGATTTATAAATTTATAATTTATTATGCTGAATGGAAGGAATTGGAGCTGTGAGAAATCTTAAAGCTCTTCCATTCGAATGTAAAATTTGCTATTGAAGTTGCAAACGTTTGCGGTTATGGAAGAAGTTCGAGAAATCGCTGCAATTGCTATTTTGAATTGGGGGTTTTTGATTACTTACTTTCAGACTAGGGGGATTGGGAAAGCTGAAGTTTGATTCCGAAGCTGACCAAATGTCAAGTACATACCTTCTCGAGGTATCCCCTGATACCGCTAAATGCACCGCTGGTGACCGAGCCCTGTGCCGAGATAAGTACTTAAAAGGATGGATTAAAAGCATATCCAAACTATCTCGCCTGTAGGGTGGCAGCCCTACATTAAGGCTAGGGATGGTGAGGTTTACAACCAACCATTTCCAAAATCAATTTGTACAAAGAAACGACAAACTTTCAGACTAGACATGACTTACTTACTTTTTTGGCCTGACAGATCAATTGTGATCCATGGCATCCCTTAGATGGAGCCTGAAGCTGGCTCTATTGCTGGCTCCCGTTTGCCAAGACATGACTTGAAGATATAATATTAAGAATATGTTAAATCTGTCAAATATGGAATAAAAAGAATCCAGTGGGAATTGAAATGACTGGATCTGAAACAAATCTCAAAAATCCACGATACTTCAGAATCTCTAACCACAATCCAATTGCCGCATTTGAAAATTGTTGCTCATGTCTATAATGTGCAGATATGCAATCATCAATAATCGAAAATGGTATCAATTTGTGGCTTTTGCTTCCAAACGAGATATTTCTTATTTCCTCACAGCATCATTTGAACTCTTTTTTTTATATCATCGTAAGATACATAAGAAGGAAAACTTTATTGCATTTATAAGTAAATAGCAACATCACTACAATTTTGTATAGTTTAATTTTCTATTCAAATGAATAAGACGGTGATATGTAGAAGGATAAAGGAGGGAAGAAAATTCTTAGACGACGGCAACGATGATGATGTTCAAGTGGAAAATGTGGATAAAATGTTAGAGAAGCGAAAGTTACTCAATAATGCATTTCTCTTTAACACGACGTAAGGAGAGAAGAGATAGAATATATAATAAATATTTGATTTTCCTAAGACTTTGATTATATATAAAGAAATTTTGTGGATGCGAAAACGGAAAAACTTTCTTCATCTTTTGCAATTTTATTTCCCTCTTTTCCTCACAACTACAACACAGTGCCATTCAATCTGACATTAATCATCTTGTCCTCGAGAGTGGGGGATGGAGGTAGGAAAGATTGAAAGGAAGTTAAAAAGCTAGCTGGTGCAAAATAGACGAGATATCTTTTACGTTTCCATCATAAAGTTGGATTTTTATTGTTTTTAGACGAATGGGAAGTTTTGGCTCATCTTTGTGTTTTCCTGCTAGTTCATATTAATTTTTATGGGATATGTAGTCTAGGTGGGGATTATAAGGTTTTGTGAGTATTAAGATATGAGTCAGAATACTTTAAGCTGTTTAAAAAACTTTAAGAAATTATTCTTTTTGATTCTCTGTAAGATTGGCACATGTTCAGGGCTGTTTCTCATACTTAGCTTCTTACTTTGATAACCGTAAATAAAGAATGTAATCCAAGGCCTACCTTTGATGATCTGAAGCTAATTCTTTAAGTTATTTCGAGATGACGATTAATAATGTTAGTGGGTTCCAGCCAAGCGTTGTGTTACTTCACGTTGTGACGAGCTGGAGGCACTGGTATCCTCATCGATGATAGAATCTATTTGTACGGCTTGACGATTAATGATTGCAATTTTGTCACCTTCTTTTAATGAGTTTTATGGCAACTCAAATGATTTCTTAAAATTCTTAATAAAAAGCTATTGCGTCAACATGTTCAACAGAGTCTGTTAACTTTTGTTTCTCAAAAATTCTCAAAATCTACAAAAAAAGGAACTTCAGTAAAATCCTCAAGTTCTTTAGACAACATTACTCTGTCATCATTCCATCCAATTTGAATCCATCACTTCTAAACATAATCCCTCAAATTGCACTTTCACATCAATTAAGTTCCATTACATTGCTTGCATCCATTAGACTTTTACTCAATTTAACCATCTTCTTATCATGGTATTTACTCGCTTTTCGAGTTCTTAATTTCGAAGTTTTCTCATCATCAACATTTTTTCAATGGGTCAATTCACTAATGACGTCCTTGATTAATAGAGGAGGAGAGGTAAGGTCTGGGAAGACTTTAAATAATTTGAACATTATGCGTCAATAGGAGTTCGATAAATCAACAATCTGTACTAGACATCATTAATGAACGACCCCTCAGTAAATCTGTTACATTCATTATATTCATCTCACTGGGCTAGAAAGAAACTCCGAGTATTTGTAGTGTGATCTTTGTGCAAAGCAAAAAATATCTTTAAGGTATAATAAAGCATCCATTCTATATGATAACATTAAAGTATACAGCATAGCATGGAGAGAAAATAACGAAAGATAAAGCAAAATTATTTTCTTGTTATGTGAAGTGATGTTTTCATCATTTCAATAACGCTTACATTCATTCTTTTCAGCTCCTTTTCTCGTCATACACACATTTTGTGTTCATTGAATGTACGCTCTTGCAATGTTGCAATTTTGATGTCATTTGATTCTTGTTTCTTTCTTTCTTTCTCATCTCACTCGCTTGCTATATATTTTTATTTAAAAAGGAGGGATGAAAACTAGTAAAAGTTGGTAGTTGGTTTATTTATCCAAGCGGAAAACCCTTATAGTAAAAAAAAGCAGTAGATGGAACATCATTTTTATGTCAAATGAATGATATGTATGTAAGGAGGTTGTAAAAGAGAATTGAATAGATGTGAAAAAATAGAAAAATGAGACATAGACATGTATATAGCTCAATGGTAATAAAACAACAAGTTTGTAAGTCATGTTAGGGATCGGATCGGAAGGTGATATGATTATGTTGCAGGACATTTACTTTGGTAAGGTTAACATTTAGGTTGGATTGACTATTTCATCCTTAATAATTTATAATTTGCATTAGTTTTAGTTTTTAAATCTGGATTTTGATGGGATACTTAGAAACTTACATTAAGAGCATTAAAAAGTAAATCTTGAAGTTTATTTCCGATTTTAGCTTGTCCTTCATTCAGATATTCCTAATCCTTAATAATTCTAAACTGAGGAGATCCATAATGAAAGCATAGGACAAAATGCACCGCAATAAAATACACGACTTACATAGAAACTTACAAACTTCCACACTTGGTTAATGATTAATATACTGACGAAAGTTTCTATAGATAGGCTTGGTTTTTTAGAGGAAAATAGTGTTATTTTGTTCTGATTCGTCCAGAAAACGAATAAAAATGGTAGACAAGTAGGATGTCCTCTATTTCATATTTCCTAAAGTTGTTATTAATTTTGATTGTCATAGAAAATGTTTATAGAAGTTTTAGTGTAAGTAGGGTTTTCTACGAACTGTGTGATATGAGTTTTCGCTGAGAGCTGAAATATGCATGGTTACTTGGCTACACATGTTACATGTTCCCATTTGAATTATGGAATGCAATTGAAGTAAAGATCTGTCTGAAATAAGCAAACAAATGCTTTATATTGAAGAAATAAATATTGTCTATTTTTATCAACTCGAAAACCATGTACAGGTGAATTTTTGTGTCAATAACACATTCTGTTCAAATACTAACGTCATTTGGCTTTTAAAAATATTAATTCTTATTTAGTCGTCCTGGCGTAAGATTTCGTCTCGATTATCCGACTTGTGCTGCATAGGTCAAGCTTAGGTTAATTGCAAAACCGTGATCTAGCCTAGGGGTCGTTCACTTATGACGTCCATGTAGAAACATGACTTCTAGACCTTCCTCTGTCACAAAACTGTAACAGATGCCATTGACCCCCCCCCGACCAAATTCCAAGTAATTTCCTTATTGCAAATTTGAGGTCACAAATTTTTTGACCCCCTCCCCTGGCAGAATGTGTCACAAAATCCTAGACCCTCTCACTCCGTAAAACTTGGACGTCACAAGTGAACGAACTCCTAGCTTCAATTAGTATAATATTAATATAATAAGTATAATATAAGTATAATATAATAAGTATATAAGTATAATATTAGTATAATTAGTATATATAGGATAAATAAACATTATCAAAAACTCCAAAAAGTCATTTTTCAATAAAAAGTTTTTATTTTGAATTCAATATAAAAAAATTCATATCAATCAAAATTTAATGAAATAAATTTTTTAGACACACATACAGCTCTTCTTTTGTCTCTCCAAAAATGAAGGGCATCCAAGAGTTTGAACTGCTCCATAAAATGAGTCGGCAATAAATCTACAGCTCCAATTTTTGCATGAATTCATCATGCAATCTTTAAAAGTTTTATCGCAAGTTTCCCTTACGGTATTGCATGTTTCATAGCAAATGTCATGACTGTTGCAACAATTCAAAAATTCTGAATTTGGAAGTAAACTTGGATGGGCAATGATCCCATAAGCTCCACAGCCATTTGTAGTAGCAGTATTATTGGGGTTTAAAACTGGAGTTAATGCTGTCAAATGGTTACAAAAATTATTAAAAATATAAAATTTTTTAAATTGATTAAACTTACAGCCAGAGCACTCAAAGGTACAGTCAAGTATTCCTGGTACTTTTGGCACTGCACAAAGTCCAATTGAGATTAATCCAAGCAAAATTACTAAGAATTTCATTTTATTTCCAAAACAAAAGAAGTTTCAAGTTTAAAATTTGTGGTTTGAATAATTAATTTGAATTTATTTCATGGCTTTTATTGTAATTTGAACAGTTTGATAATGAGCATAGTGACGTAATTTTAGTACAGATCTCTGGAAACTTTCAACTTCTCTTCCTCTCTCAATTCATATCTTTGTTGTAGGTTTTTTCAGAGCCAGGGAGAGCCAGATTAGGGTTGAAGACTCAATTATTTGAATTAACTTGAAAATCATTCAATCTTCAATTAATAAATTGAAATCTTTAGCCATGCATGGAAGTTAACACTCCATCATCAATTCACGATTCGTCCACAAAACAAAAATTCATTTTCTATTGTGACAAACCAAGAAAAAGCTATGAAAATAAATAGATAGATGGGTCGGAGATGTTTCTTTGCTATTGATGATGTTTAAGAAGTGGAAAATAATGGCTCGTTAAAAAACCATTTTTGGTTTGAAAATGTGATGTAAAAGAGAAAATGACAGTCAGTGGAAATGAAGTAAAGTTGAAAAGTAACTTTTTACTGTTTCCCAGAAAGATTTTATCGATTCTGGTGGTAATTGAATCTTTTTGACCTTTCCAAGTTGTTAAATATTTAAGATTTCATCACAATAGTGATCAATGGATTAAGCAGTGAATTGAGGTTTATTGCGAGGGCGGTTGGATGACAATCATTTTAAGGACTTATCTATAAAGTTTTAAAAAACTAGGAGTGTATTAAATGTTTTTTAAAATATTAAGAATTCTGATCAGCTATCTCTGTTGTAAGACATTACTACAAAGGCTACGCCCCTCCTTTTAAAGATATTTAACTGCGAAGTCGATTACATATAAAGATAGTGAACAGTAAGAGGTTCAAATTGAAATGTATTGCTCTGTAGCACTAACATAAGCAATTAATTTAATCGAAAATTGTTAAGGATGTTTCTGCAATTACTTCAGCATCAGATTGCAAGAACTTTAATGGCTTTTAATTAACTTTTAAAGCTTTCAAATTAGCAAACCAGAAACCCATAAAACTTTGTCTCATCATCATCATAATCATCATCACGATTTCAAACGATGTCAAGACAAAAAGATGTGATGTCTTTGAATTCCCTTAATAACGGTGAATAGTAATTTTCTGTAGATTATTGTGTGATTTTCATTCATTCGTTACGGTATAGAATGGTAAAAAGGGATTTCAGAATCCCCATATGCTTGCTGCTTTTAAGTTCTATCCAACATTCCTTTTCTCATTTTTCAAATGTATCCTTCCTTCTTTTCATCTTCATAATCATTGAATGAATATTCATTCATTATTGTTATTACGAGATGAAAAATACGGTAAAGTATAGCCTAACAAAGTCTCATTCATCATGATACATATATGTAAGATGTGAAAAAATATGTTAAGAGTAATTATTGTTTTATGGCATACATATAGTGTGCTACACATTAGTTAGGCTTTACAATTGTTGTTACTGAATATTCAAGAATGGTAATTTTTGAAATGCTCTCATTTCCTTTTTTTTGCCATTACAAAAATGAATAACTGAAAGTTCTCTTCTTATTTCATCTCCATCCATCGTCATCGTGTATTGTTGTTACAATGACTTTGTGGTAAAACAATAAATACTTTGGTATACTTTCATGCTAGTGTTGATGATATTAGTTGCTTTTGAGAGGTTATGTGAGATTTTTTTTTATTTTCAGCTTTTAGTTTGGTGTTGATTAATAAGTATTTGAAGTGCTTTGCATTGTGCTGACTTCCGAAGTTCAACAAGATTTAATATTGAAATTGGAACTGAAAAAAATAAATTACTTTTAAAAAACTTATTTTTGGCATTTAAAGGATTGTTTGCTGATGTGAAAATAATGTTTAACCTTCAAAATTTCCCAAAATCTGCTGTGCTTCTTCCTCTTTAAAAGAAACTTAACCCTTTCAATAATAAACATTTCAAAAACTAGTGTATCGGGTAGAAACCCAATGCGGATTATATTCACACCGTACTATCATAAGTCTTATGGATAGACCAAGATTTGCCCATCAGTAGTATGGAGGTATGAAGCTTGATAAGTCAACTAAGCTTCGCTCAGCATAAGCTTGAAGCAGTGTTGAAATGACAGACGTCTTCCATAGACAAAGACTACAGAATCTTTAAAAGATTTTATCTTTATGAAGAATTTATCTTCTACAGTTTTCTTTCTGCATGTAGATAAAAAAAGTGTCTACATGCAGAATCTGTCTTCCAAAGAATTTTGTCTTCCACAGATTTCTGTCTGCATGTAGATCAAAAAAAGTGTCTACATGCAGAATCTGTCTTCCAAAGAATTCTGTCTTCCACAGGGTTCTGTCTGCATGTAGATTAAAAATAGTGTCTACATGCAGATTCTGTCTTCCAAAGATTTCTGTCTTCCACAGGGTTTGTCTGCATGCAGATTATTATATTTTAATGAAAAAGTGTGGTTTTACAATAAATTAACAATAATAAGTACTTTTAACGGTCAAATCATTTTCAAATTTTCCCGATTACCTCGAAATGCAAATATTTTCTTACAATTTGTAGGTAACGGTTTACAGAGTTCGTAAAAATGTACGAATTGGACTGACAGAGAAGCTTAATTTTAATCAAATATAAAACACTAATTCAAAATATTTTTTTCTTTTCATGAATCTGATGACAAATGTGGCGAATGGTGATTTTGTGAATGTGGAAAATTGTGTGTATGTTACTGAAAATATCCATTTTTAGTGCATTTTTGAAACTTATTTCAAAAAGGTAGCTTATTGATTGAGATAGAAGCAACCAGACATCGTAGCCTTCTACGTTTTCTCAGTTCTATCGTTTTATTGATGAAGCTAGAGAGGCAGTGGAGCTTCGCTCAGCATAAGTTTGAAGTTATAAAGCTATCGCGTAAGCTGAGCTACGCTCAGCATAAGTTTGAAGATATGAAGCTAGAGAGGCAGCTGAGCTTCGCTCAGCATAAGTTTGAAGTTATAAAGCTATCGCGTAAGCTGAGCTACGCTCAGCATAAGTTTGAAGATATAAAGCTAGAGTGTCAGCTGAGCTACGCTCAGCATAAGTTTGAAGATATGAAGCTAGAGAGGCAGTGGAGCTTCGCTCAGCATAAGTTGAAGTTATAAAGCTATCGCGTAAGCTGAGCTACGCTCAGCATAAGTTTGAAGATATAAAGCTAGAGAGGCAGCTGAGCTTCGCTCAGCATAAGTTTGAAGTTATAAAGCTATCGCGTAAGCTGAGCTACGCTCAGCATAAGTTTGAAGATATAAAGCTAGAGTGTCAGCTAAGCTACGCTCAGCATAAGTTTGAAGATATGAAGCTAGAGAGGCAGTGGAGCTTCGCTCAGCATAAGTTGAAGTTATAAAGCTATCGCGTAAGCTGAGCTACGCTCATCATAAGTTTGAAGATATGAAGCTAGAGAGGCAGCTAAGCTTCGCTCAGCATAAGTTTGAAGTTATAAAGCTATCGCGTAAGCTGAGCTACGCTCAGCATAAGTTTGAAGATATAAAGCTAGAGTGTCAGCTGAGCTACGCTCAGCATAAGTTTGAAGATATGAAGCTAGAGAGGCAGTGGAGCTTCGCTCAGCATAAGTTTGAAGTTATAAAGCTATCGCGTAAGCTGAGCTACGCTCAGCATAAGTTTGAAGATATGAAGCTAAAGAGGCAGCTGAGCTTCGCTCAGCATAAGTTTGAAGTTATAAAGCTATCGCGTAAGCTGAGCTACGCTCAGCATAAGTTTGAAGATATAAAGCTAGAGTGTCAGCTGAGCTACGCTCAGCATAAGTTTGAAGATATGAAGCTAGAGAGGCAGTTGAGCTTCGCTCAGCATAAGTTGAAGTTATAAAGCTATCGTGTAAGCTGAGCTACGCTCAGCATAAGTTTGAAGATATGAAGCTAGAGAGGCAGTGGAGCTTCGCTCAGCATAAGTTTGAAGTTATAAAGCTATCGCGTAAGCTGAGCTACGCTCAGCATAAGTTTGAAGATATAAAGCTAGAGAGGCAGCTGAGCTTCGCTCAGCATAAGTTTGAAGTTATAAAGCTATCGCGTAAGCTGAGCTACGCTCAGCATAAGTTTGAAGATATAAAGCTAGAGTGTCAGCTGAGCTACGCTCAGCATAAGTTTGAAGATATGAAGCTAGAGAGGCAGTGGAGCTTCGCTCAGCATAAGTTGAAGTTATAAAGCTATCGCGTAAGCTGAGCTACGCTCAGCATAAGTTTGAAGATATAAAGCTAGAGTGTCAGCTGAGCTACGCTCAGCATAAGTTTGAAGATATGAAGCTAGAGAGGCAGCTGAGCTTCGCTCAGCATAAGTTTGAAGTTATAAAGCTATCGCGTAAGCTGAGCTACGCTCAGCATAAGTTTGAAGATATGAAGCTAGAGAGGCAGCTGAGCTTCGCTCAGCATAAGTTTGAAGTTATAAAGCTATCGCGTAAGCTGAGCTACGCTCAGCATAAGTTTGAAGATATGAAGCTAGAGAGGCAGCTGAGCTTCGCTCAGCATAAGTTTGAAGTTATAAAGCTATCGCGTAAGCTGAGCTACGCTCAGCATAAGTTTGAAGATATAAAGCTAGAGTGTCAGCTGAGCTACGCTCAGCATAAGTTTGAAGATATGAAGCTAGAGAGGCAGTGGAGCTTCGCTCAGCATAAGTTGAAGTTATAAAGCTATCGCGTAAGCTGAGCTACGCTCAGCATAAGTTTGAAGATATAAAGCTAGAGAGGCAGCTGAGCTTCGCTCAGCATAAGTTTGAAGTTATAAAGCTATCGCGTAAGCTGAGCTACGCTCAGCATAAGTTTGAAGATATAAAGCTAGAGTGTCAGCTGAGCTACGCTCAGCATAAGTTTGAAGATATGAAGCTAGAGAGGCAGTGGAGCTTCGCTCAGCATAAGTTTGAAGTTATAAAGCTATCGCGTAAGCTGAGCTACGCTCAGCATAAGTTTGAAGATATGAAGCTAGAGAGGCAGCTGAGCTTCGCTCAGCATAAGTTTGAAGTTATAAAGCTATCGCGTAAGCTGAGCTACGCTCAGCATA